CATAGCTCCCATATATATTCTTTATCCTCTTTGTTACATTTCTCCTCCACAGCCGTAATATGCATATCGTAACAACGATATTCGGAGAAATATATCAAAAATATATTTACCTGATTTTATCGGGATCGGTTCAGATTTGGATATAGCTCCCATACATATCTTTACTCGATTTAAAGTTTAGTGTGCACCAAAGGGTTTATATAAGTCCGAATTGAATGGATTAGCCTGGAAGAAAGGGAATCCAATTTAATGAAAATAGGTTAAGATATAGGTAGCAAATGCAGGGTGAGATAAAAAAACCTACAACCAACATCAGAATGCTGTCATTTCTAAGCCACTCGTCCGACAGCTGTTAAAATTATTCCAATGACGGCTCATTATATTGCTAACAAGCGTACAAAAGCATTTTGGTGAGAATTTTCCAGAAAAAAATGTTATTCCTGATGGAATTCAAGCGTGATAGTGTGATTTCTTTATATTTGTCTGGAGTGGCTATCGTCACAAGTGGCTATCGTTAGAGCACTGTCTCGTACTATCACACGTTGCGGTGATACTGGTAGTGTAGGCCGATGTCAAGGAAGTGGTCAGAAGATAACAGCAGCAGAATTGGTTCGAAAAGTAAGGATCGAAACCCACGTCGCTGGGGCCAAAAAATGTCTCGTGAGCTGAACATATCACAATATTCCATTCGGCAAATATTGAAAAATGAGCTCGGAGTAAACGCATTGAAATTCCAAAAAGTGCAGGAACTTACATCGCAACAGAAAGAAAATAGACTCAAAAGAGCTAAAGAGTTGCTTCGCTTGGCCGAAAGTGGTGAACTGCCGAATTTGGTTTTCTCTCTCTGGTGAGAAAACATTCGTTGTCCAGCAGTTAGTAAACAAACAAAATGATCGGGTTTACTTGCTAAAGAGGTCAGCTGAAAATTTGAACAGTTGAAAATTTGAAGAACTCAAGCGCCGGCCGTGGTGATGGTGTGGGCCGCCATAACAGCCGATGGTAGCTCTTCGCTCGCATTAATCGACCGTGACATCAGAATAAATGCCGAATATTATGGCGAAAATATTCTGGAGGGTACATTAAAGCCTTGGGCCCGCAAACATTTTGGCCGCAGACTTTGGACATCGCACTCAGCACGCGCCACCCAAGAATGTTTACAATATGAGGTTGCTCGCTTCATTTCCAGCGCTCAATGGCCACCGCAATCTCCGGATACCAATCCGTTAATCTACTGTGTCTGCAGTATTTTGGAAAGCAAGGTTGGCTCTAAAAAATACCAAAGTGTCGATCACCGGAAATGGGCCAAAATACCGCAGAGCAACATTCCGGCAGCGTGTGACGGTTTCATTAGCCGTTTGAAGGCCATAATTGGTGCCAAAGGTGACCAATTCGAACATATCTAAACTTATTCTAAAATTTCATACTATTTCGGACATATTTTGCTTTCATTCAAAAAAAAAAAAAAAAAAAAATAAATAATAATAAATAAATAAAATTAAAAAATAAAAATGTAAAGATTATGGCGTTTGACTTTGTTGCAGTTTTTTTTATCTCACCCTGTATACTCTCTGTAGACGTTCGGCTGATGATATACATGTATATACAAGAGTAGTGAAATAACTGACTGACTACGCCCAGACGAAACGGCTGAAGCTAGGATCTTGAAATTTAGGACATATGTACTGAAAGGATATGAAAAGTACTTTAGTACTAGTACTAAAGGTGGTTTGTGTAAATGTGTACTAAGTGTACGAACTGTCCTTAGTTGCACTACATTTGGCAAATTTTGGTTTATGGTGAACTGGATGTATCCTGGAATCGCGAAGTTTTGATATTTAGGTCCCTGTTGGTGGTAGGTTTTGTGATAAAGTGGTGGCTTTGGAAATGTGTGCCAGAAGTGCACGAAAAGTATTAAATATTACTGTATTTGGTACAATTGTATTGTATGGTATTCGGTGAACAGAAATTTGGAATGAGAATTATTGATATGGTATGGATGTACCATAAGGTTCTGCATATTTGAACTTTAAGGTAACGAAAAGTTCTAAAATGTTACCATTTTGTAATATGTAAACCGATAGAACTAAAAACTTGAAATTTGGTATGAGGACCAAGATCGGAAAGTAGGGTTTATATATGAAGGTGTCTTTCGAAACATGTTCTATAATTGTACGAAAATTATTATATAGTACTAGATTTGGAATTGTGTGGAGGTATGGCGCTGAAATCCTGATATTTGAAATAGATGTCACTGTTGGCGTTTGCGGTTAAGATATAGGGGTGGCTTTTGAAATCTGTACAATAGTTGTGAAAAAAAAGTACTATTTGGTACTAAGTTGGGTGAAGGGATAGAACTGGAATCCTCAAATGTAATATTGATGTCTATGTTGGCATCTGGAATTGAGATATGGATGGGGTTTTCGTAATGTGTACTATATTTGTACAAAAAGTACTAAATCGTTCTAAATTTAGTATTGTATGACGGAATACAGTTGAAGTCCTGAAATTTTGATATAGATTCCACTGTTGGTGTCTGTGGTTAAGATATGTGTGTGTGGTATTTGAAATGTGTCGAAAAGTGCTACTAAAGTTGGTGCTGGGTGTAGGGTTAGAGGTAGATTTCTGAAATTTGATATTGATGTTACTGTTGGCGTCTGTAGATGAGAAAAGGTAGTGGTTTTGGAATTTTTACAAAAAATTTACCGTTGGAATTTGGGAATGGGTCTTAGGATAGAGCTGGAATTCTGAAAATTAATATGTAGGTCAATGTTGGTATACAGTTTTGAGAGAAAGAGATAGTTTGGGGAATGAGTACTATGATTGTTCTAAAAGCAACCCAGTGGTACTAAATTTGCCGTTGAGTGAATGGATAGGGCTCGAATCCTGAAATTTGATAATGAGGTCTCTCTTGGTTTCAAATTTCCTTTTTCAGAAAGAATAATCGGAAAATAAAACCTTTTGCCACAAAACATCTTTAAAATCTTTCAATTTGAAGTTTACCGAGGAAGATGTTATCCAAAATGGACTCACATCCATGTTTACTATTCAAAACTTTTTGAACGTCTCCATATGTAAACCCTGGAATTCAACAGTGACCTCAATCCCACCATTACCAGATACCAATAGAAATTTAGGGATTCCAGCTTAATATTCACTCAATACTAGATTTAGTACAATTTAGTGCTTTTCGTATAATTTGAGTACTTAAAACTGATCAATATCTCAATCCTAGCCTCCAACAGCTATGGCAATATAAAATGTCACTGTTTAAGTTCTATCCCATCACTCAATATCAAATTTAGTACCATTTAGTACTTTTCGTACAATTGTAATACACACTTTTAAAACCACCTCCATACTTGACATTATAAATGATTTTTTTTAAGTAGATCAAATATATGTCCCAATATTTTGAAGAGTTCACCCATTCTGTTCCAAAGGTATCTCATCAGAATTATAGTGTTGTAGGGAATCACACGACCTGCCTTTGCTTACTTCTCTATATTTCAGAATGCTATATACAAAATAACCAGTAAAGAAAATCTTCAAGTCGGGCGGGGCCGACTTTATGATACCCTACACCACTTTTCTAATTAAGTAGAGCTTCACATAACAATTAAAAGTTTTTATGGGAGAATTCAATCATACACGCTATGATTATAGGTATAATTTAAAGTTCAAAAGACTCAATATGCCGAAGCATTTGTATCTTTTAAATTCGGAATTGTATTGCCCATTTGGTGCACAATTAATTTGAAATCGGCTAAAGATATATATGGGAGCTACATCCAAATCTGAACCGATCTCGATAAAATTTGGCAAAGATATTTCTGAGCTGTATTTGATATATTTCCCTGAATATCGTTGTTACGGAGTGCATATTACGGTTGTGGGTAACAAATGTAACAAATCGGATGAATAATATATATGGAAGCTATAGCTATATCTGAACCGATCTTCACCAAATTTGGCATACTACCTTCTAGACTCAATTCGGTCGTAAGTGCCAAATTCCATCCCATTTGGACAAATTTTACACGTTTGGTGCATAATAAAAGGTAAATCGGATGAAGTTAGATATGGGAGCTATATCTAAATCTGAAGCGATCTCGATAAAATTTAGCAAAATTATTTCTGAGCTGTATTTGATATATTTCCCCAAATATTGTTGTTGCATAGTGCATATTACGGCGGCGGTGGACAAAAATAACAAATCGGATGAACAATATATATGGGAGCTATAGCTATATCTGAACCGATTTCGATCAAATTTGGCATACATATTTTCAGGCCTAATTTGGGTGTATATGCAAAATTCCATACAATTCGGGCTGATATTACTCGTTTGGTGCACAATGAAAGGCAAATCGGACGAAGATATATATGGGAGCTATATCTAAATTTTGACCGATTATCTCCAATTTCAATAGGGTTCGTCCTTGGGCCAAACAAAAGATCTTTGCAAAATTTCATCTGGATCGGGCAATAAATGCGACCTGTACTTTGTTTACAAAAATACATGGACAGACGGACGGACGGACGAACATGCATAAATCGACTCAGAATGCGATTCTATGCAGATCATCAAAAGGAACTATGGGTCTATCTCGTTTCCTTCTGCCTGTTACAAACAAATGCACAAAGACATAATACCCTGACCACCTTGTGGTGTAGGGTATAATGATATTTTCTTATTGAAGTTATACTTAATATACCCTTTAACCACTGTCCCCCCCAAGTTAAGTAAAACTAACACCAACACATAATAGCAACAACAAAGCAGGCAATGCATTTGATGCATAATAATCACTCTGCGTACACTCTTTCTCATTCACAATTAACCTGCAATGACAGTTGTTAGCCATGAAGAAGAGAAGAAACCAGCTGAGCGTCACCGTCACCGTCAATGCGACCAACTTAAGCCACCACTACAAGCAACGACTGGCGGGACTGGCTGAATGGCAGAGTTTATGAGCCAACAAGAAGTTGGCCAACAATACGGCCAAGTTAGTCTGCAAATGAGCAGTCAAGTGAACGGTTTTTAAAGACGTCTGCGCATTGAATTTTGATTTGAACAAAAAAAATTAACAAATATTTGGTTGGTGGAAAAAACCAACTAAAATAAAAATCAAAAAATAAAAAGTTAGTAAAACAAAAAAAAAAAAAAAAAAAAGATAAAGAAAATTAAAGAGAAAAACAAAATAAAAATTATTTTTAAATAAAACTCAAGTGATTGTTAAGCAAAAAAATTCCACACAATTTTATTTAAAGGAAATTGAAAAAGAAAACCCAGAAAAAAATTATTAACAAGTGTCTGGATATTTCGTTCGTTAAAAAAAATCATACATTCAAACATATACGCGTGCGTGTGTAACCATTAAGTGTGTGACTTGTAACGTTTACTGTCGTTTTTCCATATTTCCATTATTTTCCTCTTTCATTTCTTTTCCAATTTTATTTTCATTAATTTCTTTGGTGTAACGCGACTAAAACATAAAATAAATAAACAAGTTATTAAAACACGCTCTACTATTTCTTCCTTTTATTTTATATCGAATTTTTTGTAGGATTTTCAAAATTTGGATTTAATTTTTTTTTTGCCTTTCGCCTGCTGAAAGTTGGATTAACCCTCAAATCGTTTTGATTTGTTTGAATTTTCAAAAAAACTGTTTTTTTTAACTTTAAGGTAAGTTTGACTTTCATGAAAAGTGTTTTTTTTTTTGTTTTTTTGGTTTTTCTCCTTGTCCATTATACCTTTCGTTTAGTTTATTGCTCTCTTTTTTGTCTCGCTCATGCGTTGTTGTTTTTTTTTCTGCAATTGCAACATGCAAAGTGTCTGATTTTTTTTTTCGGCTCCCACTTCTTTTCTTTCGCAATGTAACAGCGCTGAACAGCAGCGTTTAAAATATGTATAAATACCTCGTTTTAAAATATTTCAAAACTTTATTTTCATCATCATCATCGTCGTCGTCGTTTGGCTCATGATCGCCATCACCACTGAGTATTGCAAAATATTTCAAGCATAGCCGAAGAAGAAAAAGAAAATGATCAAAAGAAACAAATTGTTTAAGCCGCAGTGGGTAGCAAAACATTTTTTAGCATACAAAAACAATTAAGATTTTTCACACAACGCCAATAAAAAATGTTTTGGAAACCGAACTAAGCATGTTCAAAAATCCCTTTTGCAAAATGTACTTCTATTTGGGAAAATGTTAACAAAACCCTCATTATACCCTACACCACAAGGTGGTCAGGGTATTATGTCTTTGTGCATTTGTTTGTAACAGGCAGAAGGAAACGAGATAGACCCATAGTTCCTTTTGATGATCTGCATAGAATCACATTTTGAGTCGATTTATGCATGTCCGTCCGTCCGTCTGTCCGTCTGTCCATGTATTTTTGTATACAAAGTACAGGTCGCATTTATTGCCCGATCCAGATGAAATTTTGCAAAGATCTTTTGTTTGGCCCAAGGACGAACCCTATTGAAATTGGAGATAATCGGTCAAAATTTAGATATTTGCGATTTGCTTTTTTTGTGCACCAAACGCGTAATATCAGCCCGAATTGTATGAAATATTGCATATACACCCAAATTAGGCCTGAAAATATGTATGCCAAATTTGATCGAAATCGGTTCAGATATAGCTATAGCTCCCATATATAATGTTCATCCGATTTGTTATTTTTGTCCACTGCCGCCGTAATATGCACTATGCAACAACAATATTTGGGGAAATATATCAAATACAGCTCAGAAATAGATTTGCTAAATTTTATCGAGATGGGTTCAGATTTGGATATAGCTCCCATATATAACTTCTTCCGATTTACCTTTTATTGTGCACCAAACGTCTAATATTTGTCCAAATGGGATGGAATTTGGCACTTACGACCGAATTGAGTCTAGAAGCTAGTATGTCAAATTTGGTGGAGATCGGTTCAGATATAGCTATAGCTTCCATATATATTATTCATCCGATTTGTTACATTTGTTACCCACAACCGTAATATGCACTCCGTAACAACGATATTCAGGGAAATATATCAAATACAGCTCAGAAATATCTTTGCCAAATTTTATCGAGATCGGTTCAGATTTGGATATAGCTCCCATATATATCTTTATCCGATTTCAAATTAATTGTGCACCATATGTGCAATACAATTCCGAATTTAAAAGATACAAATGCTTCGGCATATTTAGTCCTTTGAACTTTAAATTATAATTATAATCATAGCGTGTGTGATTGAATTCTCCCATAAAAACTTTTAATTGTTATGTGGAGCTCTACTTAATTAGCAAAGTGGTGTAGGGTATCATAAAGTCGGCCCCGCCCGACTCTAAGACTTTCTTTACTGGTTTTTTTATTGAAATCGAGATCTTAGACATAAATATATTTGAATATATAAGCAATTTTATTTTTATTATATACCACATTTTTATACCCTACAACACTTTGTGTTGGGGGTATTATAAGTTTGATTGGGCCAGAATTTATGTAACACCTCGAAATATTGGTTTCCCATATAGGAAAGTATATATGGATCTTCCTAGCTCGCCGAGCTGAGTTGATCTAGCTATGTATGTCCATCCGTCCGTCTGTCCGCCTGTCCGTCTGTCCATGTTAATTTGTAATCACTCTACAGGTCGCAATTATGGCCCGATCTTCACGAAATTTAAAATGTAGGTGGGGTTAATGTCCGAATAGAACCCTATTTCTTTTGAAGGTGATCGCCAAATGTTTAGGGGTTGAAATGGACCAAATACTGAAAAAATGTCAGATTTTGCAGTAGCTATACAGGTCGCAATTATAGACCAATCGACGCGGAATTTCGCATATAGCTAGAGTTTAGGGCGGGGAAGAAGCCTACCAATTTGGGTGGTCATCGGATAATATTTAGCGGGTAAAATAGACCATATCTTTTGTGTTTAAAAAAATTCAAAATTTTTCATTAAACCGCGAATATTTTAAATCCCGGCGAAATCAAAAGCCATGATAAGGTTTCTTCTGATCTTTACATTGATGTTAACATCCATCAAATCGGATATATAGCAAAATTTGTGCGATATATATGTCTATCAAAGAAGATATGCTTGAAAGATCTCTTATACGTCGAGAACGGCTGAACTGATTTCGACAGTTCTCATTAATTCAGAATGGCCTCTTGGCAGGAAAGAAAAAACGTCTAAAAATTTCTCTCTAAAGATGAAAATATTGATTTTCTAACATTTTCTCATATTTTTTCAATGTTGGCATATTTTCATTTTGAATTAAACATTCGGTAATATTTCTACAGCTAACAAAACTAAGTAGTTAGGATATCAGGATATCATATACAGATCGCATTTATGGCCCGATCCTTACGAAATTTTGCATGGGGGTAAGATGAGGGTCAGAATAGAAGGCTACTCTCTTTGGAGAGGATCGCCATATATTTAGGGGTTGAAATGGACCAAAAACTCCAAAATTGTCCGCAGGTCGTAATTGTCGCCCGGTCCTCACGCACATTTGCATGGGGGTTACCGGACATTGCAAAAGCCAAATAGTTTTGGATGGCCATCCAAAAATATTCAATGTGTGAATAGTTTGCCAACTTTTGTAGACAAAATACGAAAATGTCGATTCCAGTGACTTTTTGGAGAATTCACAAATACAATAAAGACGCACTTCTGACTATTTCGTTAAGGCTGATTTCGTTGAAGAATATAGTCAAATGTCTGTATCTCATATAGATGCGTTTCAGTCAAAAACCAATAATAAATGTTAATCTTTTGCCACTTCTGAGAGATTATAGGTCTTTGGGAAATATTGGTTCCAGATCTAGGAAGACCATTTACGTGCAACATCTACCAATAAATTGGAATTGAGGAAATTCGTTTAAGTTGCTATTATTCGAAAATTAGAGAACGGAACCTGATGGTTTTCTTTTATTATTCGTCACAATATCTTGTGGAATTATTTCGAGTATCTCGCCTATATAAACTGTATCGTTTATTATAGTGTTGTAGGGTATTCAACGGTCGGCCCCGCTCGACGGTAGCCTTTGCTTACTTGTTTTAGAATATTTTTGACCCAGCAACATCTCCCATTACCAAATTATGGGGATTCTAATCAATTTTTGTCAGTTTTAATTTTTTTTTTTTTGCAAGGCAATTGCAGCGGAAGGAAGTATTTATTTTTGGGCTGCCAATGTCGACAATTTTCATACCCTCAGCCGTACAGGGTGAGTTGAAAAAACTGCAACCAACTTCAGACTGCTGTCATTTCTATGCCACTCGACCGACAGCTCTTAAAATTATTCCAGTGACAGCTCATTATATTGTTTACAAGCGTACAAAAGCATTTTGGTGAGAATTTTCCAGGAAAAAAGTTATTCGTGATGGAATTCAAGCGTGATAATGTGATTTCTTTATATTTGGCTGGAAATCCCCAAGTAGCCTTCGTTAGAGCAATCCAACATTTAAATATAAATAAATCTTTTGTGACTTGTACCATCGTTCGTTACCGCGATGCTGGTAGTGTAGCCCGACATCAAGGAAGTGGACGGAAGAAAACGGCATCATCAGCAGAAATGGTTCGAAAAGTAAAGAAGCGACTTGATCGAAACCCGCGTCGCAGGTGGCCGAAAAAATGGCTCGTGAGCTGAACATATCGCAATATTCCATTCAGTAAATATTGAAAAATGAGCTCGGGATAAAGCCATTGAAATTCCAAAAAGTGCAAGAACTTACACCGCAACAGAAAGAAAATAGATTCAAAAGAGCTAAAGAGCTGCTTCGCTTGGCCGAAAGTAGTGAACTGCCGAAATGGGTTTTCTCCGATGAGAAAACATTCGTTTTCCTGCAGGTTGTAAATAAGGAAAATGATCGTGTTTACTTGCCAAAGAGGTTAGCTGAAAATGTGCACCTTCGGTTGGCCACCAGAACTCTAGCGCCGGCCATGGTGATGGTGTGGGCCGCCATAACGGCCGGTGGTCGCTCTCCGCTCGTATTAATCGACCGTGGCATCAGAATAAGTGTCGAATATTATCGCGAAAATATTCTGGAGGGTGTATTAAAGCCTTGGTCACGCTAACATTTTGGCCGCAGACCTTGGACATTCCAACAGGACTCAGCACCATCGCACTCAGCACGCGTATTTTGGAAAGCAATTTTGGCACTAAAAAATACCAAAGTTTCGATCAGCTCAAGTAAGCGTTTCGCCGGGAATGGACCAAATTACCACAGAGCAACATTCGGGCAGTATGTGACGGTTTCATTTGCCATTTGAAGGCCATAATTCGTACCAAAGGTGACCAATTCGAACAAATCTAAACTTATTATAAAATTTGATGCTATTTTCGACATTTTTTGCTTTCATTCAAGAAAAATTTAAAAAAAAAATGTTAAATTTATGACGTTTGACTTTGTTGGAGTTTTTATCTCACCCTGTATGGCTAGAGAGAAATAAAGGTTTTAGACCCTAGGTCTATTTGAACCAAATCCGTTTCAGGACATTTGAAGTCAATCTAGGGGTGTCTTTCTGGCTGGCTGGTGCTCACGAAAACTCTCGAAGGGTGTATTCGATTTGACCCAACCTTAATACATCGTAATATTATTGTCAAGCTTAAATCGAGTTCGGAGGTGGTCAGTATTGTCCTTTCATAATCCGTCCATTCCTTCTGGTACCGCCCTCACAAAAT